AAACTCAGGACAAACAGGCCTAGTGCAGCCGCACTACACTTTGTGCGGTCCGCACTAGGAAGATTCAGAGAACTGGCAAAACAAGCTTCAAGGCAGTGAGGCCGCAGTCAATCTTCGCAGTCCGCACTGAAGGCTTCGCGGCCGCACTACCATTATGTGCGGTCCGCGGAAGAGAAGACCAGAGAGTTGCAACTTTCCCAGGTTCAAGCCATCGCGGTCCGCGGTCATGTTTGTGCGGACCGCATTGGAAGCCTCCACGGCCGCGGTGCATTCTGCGCGGTCCGCGGAGCCTGAGTTCAGAGAGCCAAGACTTCAAGACCAAGAGCCTAGTGCGGCCGCAGTCCATTTTGTGCGGCCTGCACTGACCCCGCAGGGGCATTTTTGTCCAGTTTTTCCAGCTTAGTATAAATAGAACATTTTTTCATTTTTAGGGAATCGGTTATTTTAGAACGGCAGCTGCGCTCGTGAGAAGCTATTTTGTAGCCATTTTGGGCATTTTAGCTTAACTCTAACGATAGATTCTCTGTATTTTCTTTAGTGTTTAATTAATATGTCTTTTTCTTCATCTATTTCTTTGATTTTATCTTCAAGCATGAGTAGCTAGACCCATTAGCTAGGGTTGTGGCTCAACCCTAGTGTGGGTAATTGATGGGTGTTGTGATTTAAGGTTAGATTGATTATGGGTATTTGTTATTTGGGTCAATTTTATGGTTTAATTTATGAATTAGTGGCTGCAAACACTAGTTTGTGCTAAGTTGACTTGGCTCTTCTTGAGAAAGAGAGCCTAAGTCTCCAAAATTGACCCAACAAGGAATTGGGATGGTCTCAAGAGATTTGATAGTCCCAATTAAAGGGTTAAACCTCGAGAGAGTAATTACCCGACTTGAACCCTAGTTGCTCGGGCATATATGCATACCCAATTGGTCTCGAGAGAGTCAATTGGGCAAAACCACTCTTTCTACCGAGAGGTGTAGAGTGGGTAGTATTGAGTAACGGTTATAACATACTTCCTTAATCATGTCAATCGAGCCTTAGGTGCAATTACCCGTCAATTAGCCACCTAGGTAAAGGTCACTACCCTAGTGCCTTTTTAAACTATTAGATACAACTTGTAGCAATTCATCTCTTAGCTTAATCTAGTTGCATTTTCAATTAGTAGTTTGATAAAAATAGAATTATAAAGAAAATCCAAAAATGAATAGAAGACCAATTAAGAGCACATACACAATCCTAAGCTAGATAGATACTCGACTCCAATCCTAGCTCTCTGTGGATTCGATCCCGATCCAAAATAGGGTAAAAGCTATTGCGACCCTCTCTTGCTACTTTTTAGTGGTGCGGAGTTGGCAGCGATCACACGACAACAGAGGCAGATTCCTGAGGGAGGGCCTGAGCCAACACCTGCGCCTTCTCGGCCACGAAAGCCACAACTTGGTCTCCCAGGTTCGAGGCATCCCACTCGAGCTCACCGATCCGCTCCTCGAGCCTTGCCTCCCTCAGTGTGGCCGTCGCCCTCTTGGCTTCCCACTTAGACCCGAGGACGCGGATAATGTCTTCCAGTGCCGCTGCCCTCGCCAAAGCTGCCACTCGGGCTCCCTCGGCCCTCTCCAACTCGGCCACCTTCCTTTCTAGCTCAGCCACCTTCTCCTCTACTCTGCACTTAGATTGGCACCTCTAGTGGCATTCTACTCAAGCTCGGCTCGCAAGGATAACACCTTTGCCTGAAGATCCTCGCATTGCGCCGCAACCCCTTTGCCCACCTCGAGCTCCTTGTCTTTGGCCCTAAGCAGTCCCTCAAGCTCGCTACATCTGCGGATAGACCGCATCAGATCCTCGTTCTTCATCTCCAACTCCTCCTTGAGGGATTGCGTATTATTGCTTGCCCTAAGCTGCGCGTGCATCTCACGACACCTGTTGCGATACCGGAGGTACTTCATGGCCATCTTCAGAAAGACTTCGGCCCGCGTCTCTGACGAGCACTCTTGATCTCCAGCATGTAAGTCTAAAAATATAAAGGAAGAATCAGCGAAAGCGAATAGCACAAAACAAAGAAAATAGCAAAAGGAAACTCACCCTCAAGGCCATCCCAGCCACACCGCGTGACAAACCGAAATTACTGATCTCCCGAAGATCTTCTTTCGGTGGTAGAGCACAGAAGGTCAAATTGGGGCACCAAGTCCACCGTGTCCTCCAAAAGGTTAAAATCTGACGGAATATCGAGTACACGGGAAGGGCCTTCCGCCCTAACATCAACCTTGGTAAAACCTTCCTCGAACATCCTCATGTCCTCAGGGTCGATATCAGAATCAGATTCATAATCATCTACCACTGCGACCTTCAACCTCTCATTAGCCGAAGAGGGGGTGCGGGCCTGCCGAGATGTCGATGGACCGCTCAGAACAATCGTGGCGGCCTCCGAAATCTGTCCCCCTGCCACGACAGCTTCTTCCACGCCCAAAACGGGCATCGCCTCCACACCTAGGTTGGCATCACCACCGGCTTCAGACACCGCCGAAACATGATCGCCCCTCGAGGGCGTTTCAATCAAAGACGCCCCCTCTGACATTAACCTCCGCCTCTTTGATGGGGCCTCTTCGCCACCACCATGAGAAGGGTCATACCCCGAACGGACTGTGGGGACCTGAGTGTCCGATCGAAGAGCAGCCTCCGAACGAACAGGTTCGGACGCGGACGCGGTCCGTGGAACAGCCAAGCTATGGACGCCCTCACCCACAACTACTCTTGGTATGGGTCGAGCAGAAGAAGCCGGCTGACGGAAAGCAAGGACAGGAGCCCTCGCCCTTCTCGCTCCTCTCCGACCTGTCAATGAGAGAAAGTCGACCAAATGAAGATATAAGATAAAGAAAAGACGGAGCAAAGAACAAAGCAACTACGGCCGAAACAAGCCGACTCACCAGCGGAAGGTTTGCGCCCAAACCTCTCATGGAAAAGTGCCCATTCGCGAATTCCCATTGTGTGGGGAAGAATCGAGCTCACCCACTCGCGAATATTAGCAACTTGTGGAGGAGGTACTCTCTCGGCTGCGAAAACAAAAACACTCGAGGAAATCACTAAAGGGAGACGACCAACAGCCATTTTCAAAAAATATATAACAAAAGGAAAGGAAGACCTACGGGCGAAATTCCACGCCTTAAGAAACCCCGTGGGGTTCGATACCACGCGCTCTGTTCAGACATAGAAGAAGTTCTTCCAAAAGCGGCGATTGGCCTTGTCATCCATCTTCACCACCAAACCCTTGGTTCCTCGGTGACGAAGGTGAATCATCGTGTCCCTATAAAAATGGGGGGCGAAGAGGGGAAGCATGTGTTGTAGAGAAATTCCCTGATCGACCAGCTCCGCGTACTTGATAAGCATAAGGAAGAGCTTGTACACGTACGGAGAGAGTTGAGCCGGACACACCTCGTAGAAGCGGCAGAAGTCCACCATCAAGGAAGGAAGGGGAAGCGTGTATCCGATGACAAAAGGGTATGCATAGAACGGGCAGTATACTGGGCGGTGCATGTGCACAACATCAGAACCCGTTGGAACGAGTTCGATATGCTCAAGGATTCTCCATTTGACTTTAAATGCCGTGAGCGCCGCGACATCCATCGTAGAAAGAACAGGTTCCGGCTCATCCCCAGTAGGGCTATTGAAGTCAGTCCTTGCCTTCCCTAGGCGGGGAACCACCTCATCTACTGTTGGAAAACTCTCGTCCTCCGCTAGACCCACTCCCTCTTCGAGTAGGGGTATATCGTTTTCCAGCACCGGAGCACCAACGACTCGATTAGGGTCAGAAGAAGCACTAGCCATCGCTTTGGGTGACTGTACAGGCCGGGAGTGTAAAGAAAGGAGGGTACAACCACGAGGATTGTTGGTAGAAAAAGAAATACAAAGAACTGAAGAAGAAGAAAGAATGCCTTAAGATTGTCTTGTGAACGATTGGGAAACACTACATTCGAATGGGAAACTTTTTCCTATTTATAGAGATGTGAATATGCTGGTTTGAGAAACCAAGCGCCGCCTTTTTTCAAAAATAACGGAAAGGGCACGTGAAACGATGCAATGCACAGAGGACGTGTGCCATAATGACGCCTGACGAATTTAATGTCATTTCAAACTGACATAGTGGTCTGACGAAGCACTCGAAACGTCACATCATCATCTCGCTAAGAAGCCCTCGCCCATCGCCCAAAACGCTCAGATTTCTCAAAAAGTTTTCTTATTGACGAGGTCCGCCCATCGAGCTCGCCCAAAGACGACCTCAATAGGCGGAGGGACTAACTGTATGAGTCGAAATCTGACCACACGAGAATCGGCACAAAAAGGAATGGCGAGGGGTCGATTAAGCCGTGGTTGTATCCATGAGGCATCATAACGACGAGCATCTCGGCCAAGGCCGAGGTCTAACCATCAGAAAGCCTTTATGGCGAAGTACACGCCATGGAACTTAGGAAGGTCGACCTAAAGTTCAATTGGCAGATTAGGGTATCCTGGCCAAGGACCGTTGGATAAAGGCAAATACCTATTATATATATATACTAGGTAAGAGAATGAGTGGGGGGGACTTTTGTTCCTCTCGTAACACAGAAGAACGAGAGAATCTTTCTCAAGAAAATCAAGAGAAGGTTCAGAACTTGACTGCTGATCTTTGTAATCATCATTATGGAATCAATAATGATAGATCTCGTAGCCGTTAATGGTGCACCTTCTTTTTCTTCTTTATTTTACATTACGGAATAATAGCATCAAGAATGTAAGCCCGATATATATATATATATATATATATATATATATATATATTTGATATCTTTTATAATCTTAAATAGCTCACGAGCTTAACCAAATCCTATTTTTCCTACTTAATATTCTTGGATCTAGAGTTAGTCTCCCCTATTTTCTTATTAATCCGTTTTAAGAAAAGGTTTTAACACTTTTTTGGTAAAACAATGCCATCTTCAGAAGGGGAGCAATAATGGAGTGGAGTGTAGCTTCTGCAGTTAGAGAATAACATGATCTTAAATCCACATAATGGGATTTACATAGAGCAATCTATATTTAACAAAGGATGTAATAAAAATTACAAAACCCAAAAAGGAAAAGAAACCACCCTTGTCAACTAGCTTTGTCAATAACAAACAAATCAAATAATCATTCTACTTTAACACAAACAACTACAGTCAAGAAATCAGTTTGATGCTGTCTTCAGTCTGCTGCATTTCTTTGACACATACTATTTTCGTCACGTTAAAGGCGCATAACTTAGCTGCATTTAGGTCTGAAGTTGCCAAGCCGCTATGCAAATGCACCATCACTAACAGCTACGCCTTAATCCCAAGCGTACAAATGCATCACGAATAGGAAAAACTTAGCATCCATCACCAACCAGTTTTGGCTCGTTTCATCCCGCTTGAATTAAAAGGAGATACACTACCCCTTGGTTGGGGACTCTCTTCTCTAAAATTGTTATTCAGCACAGCAAGTTCTCTAAGCTGTTGTCTTTTATACAAGTCCTGCGACTCGTCCTGCAATTCCAGGCCAATAAACATGAAATTAGTAATATATTCCTTGAAATCCTAACACTTATTTTCTGACCTACCTTTTTAAACTACTACTATATATTTTCAACTCTCTTAGTAGATCACCATGTTGACTCAAACAAAGAGACGTAGAGGCAGGGGCGGATCCAGCTTCGTAGGTGTGGGTTCCCAGGAACTCGGTAGCTTTTGCACATACCATGTATGTGTTAAAAAATCCACTAAAATCCATAAATATTTGGTTGTGAACCCAGTTACTTATTGTATATTTACTTGAGGTCGCACTAGGAACTCATAAGCTTCAAATCCTGGATCCGCCTCTGCGTAGAGGGAGTAGTTACATTAAACCTTTCTCCTATGCGGTTTTAGTTCTAAGAGTAATTAGGTAGTAGGTCACCATCTTAAGAAACTTAAGCAGATCGTAAGAGATATCTTTTGTTTCATTCAGCATGTCCCGCCCCCTCCTTTTTTCTTTTGTAAAGTAACTCCTGATAGTTGAACAGTTAAGTAATCATCTCAGATTTTTTCGCGAAGAGCAAAATATATCACACGTATGTCGACTCTTTCAATCTGTCCATTTCAATGTTCATGATAAAAAACCACACAAGCACAACAACTGTTTTGTCTGCAATTGCTTATAGGTGTATATGTCGGAGTGAGAAAGTGCTTACCACAGGTCTGAGCAACTCTTCAATAATTTGGCTAGCTTGTTTCAACCGTGCGTCAACTATATTGATGGGTAATTCTGCCTCAAGTAGAACATGCAGTGGCTCATTAAGGTGCTCATAACCTGGAAGGCCTCTCAAACTCTCCTCCTTCAATAATATAAGACGACAAAGCATAAGTAATATAAGAAAATAATTGGACGAAAAGCAGGACTGTGAAGAAAAAGTCAAAGGGCCTTACTTTTTCGGGGTCTTTTATTGAACCCTGTCCTCTTATAAATACGCGACATCCAGTAGACGCTTCCACCCGCTTCAGAGAATTGCCTCGAGGTCCTAAAAGCCGTCCAACAAAGTTGAACTGTGCCATGAGAAATATATGATTTAGTTTACTGCTCAATAAATTTGGCAAAATATCAAAATCCCCTTAAAAGCATCCCCTTTACTCCCTTTCTCTATCTTAGGTGAGCTACTTAATTATGTCGAGTTATTCACATAATTATTGGTACAAATACCATCGCAGAGGGTTGAAATTGACATTTTGAATATTATTACGTGGAGTTTGATGTGAAAATGTACTGCATCATTATATGTTACAACAGATAATGCAACCTATCAATTCAAAGGTAAATCCAAACTAGATCCATGAAGAAATAGATGGAAACAATAAACACTATCAACAGTCCATGACGTCAGCTTACGTTTGGATATCTGTCGACTGGTATATCCAAACGCAATATCCGCTTCACAAGAAATGAACTTGGACTTCCTGGTGAAGCTTGCCAGTCGATGGGCCTTCCCTGTGGTACACCTAATCTTTGCTGCAAAATGAATTTCAGGGATATCAATACAACTATCAAAGCATTAGGAGTACAAGCAGCAATGCCACATAAGCGAAAGCAACACCATGTGGTGGTGGTGGCGGCTTTTGGGGTGGGGGTGGGGGGTGGGGGGGGGCACCTATATCTTCCTGGAGCATGTAACTGAAGTGGAAAGGCTTGAAAGTGCAGAGTGTTCATTTTGAAAGTGTATGTAGATTATTAACTCCACCACAGAATTTTCCATGCCATTCAAACTTCATGAACCAAAAAGTAGCGACATAAAGAAAAGACTGACCAAGCCCTTTCAAAAATCCTTTGCATGTTTTGAAAAATAAGGAAACGGACATAACTAAGTACTATCCAGTAAAGAGGAATGGAAATGCAGTGGGGTCGGAGGACAAAGTTATACCAAATGATGCCATGGTAGTATAAGTGCTTTTTTCTATTGTCAAATAAAGCTGTTAGAATTGAAAACTGACAAACAACAACATACTTCGATGATATGTGGTGGACTATAATAGGGTGAAAATTGAGTCAAGCTTCTCAAACAATCAAAACAATTTTTCTAGTCCTCAGCTTCAGCGAAGAATAAGATTAAAGATAAAGCAATTGTTTTAGTTCAACTTAGAAAGAGGACATTTCAAATGTTAGTTTCTCCAGAAATGGATTTCATCTGGCTGTATAGCTTCCACATCGATAGTCTACAAACTCGTAAAATGAGGTTTCTTTAAATGTAAAATTATGAAGCAGCATCCAAAGACCGGACAGCGGTTTGTGATCTGTGGTTGCATCCCCCACTTTTTACTAATTCTTCCAGTGAGTTAGTTCAAAAGCACTTAATACTAAATGTTATATTACAAGATCTAAGCTCACAACATATTGCAGACTGAAGTGAAGTCCTACTTCTTCATTTGGAGGTACTTTCAAGACTATAATCTGCTAGGGATTATAATCAATTTTTCATTTCAATATTTGGTTAAACTGATTCTAAGTCGTAACAAGAGGATGCCATACATTTCAACTTACTACGATTCCCATCACACCATGTTAGTGTTTCAATTAGCATAGAAACCATGAACTAGCACCTATCGACAGAACACATAAGACATGTAATAGGCAGCATTACAGAATTAATGAAAAGAAAATTTGAAAATTGTGCCTAAAGAAGAAATAAGTATAAGCTGACCTCTTGAAAGGCATTCCATCCATTCCCATTCCATCCACCTAAACCTTTTCCTCCGACATGTTGCATCATGTCGAATGAAGATACAGGACTAGGGCTTCCACGTTGTAGTCTGTCATAGTCGCTAAGTACTTGGTTGGGAATCATTCCCGAAAGTCTTAGTATTTCTGTCAAAGAGATTGAAACTAAAACTCAAGAATTTCCCATTTTGAGAATCACTAAAGCTATTAAGGAGAATATACATCAACTTACCAAGGAGACTAACCTCGTACATATTATCTGCTACAAACATTTCTTTGAAGAAAAACTAGGTTACATCCTAACCTATAATCCACTTCTTTCAAAATGCCATTGGACTAAAGTTTATGTGGAATACGCACTTGTCAATCGACATAATCAGAGGCGGATCCAGGATTTTAAGTTTATGGGTTCCTGTCGCAATTTCAAATTAATATACAATAATAACTGGGTTCACAAATAGATATTTATAGATATTTAATAATTTTTTTAACAAAAATACAGGGTCTACGCAAAAGTTACTGGGTTCCCGGGAACCCGTATCTTACACCCTAGATCCGCCCCTGGACATAATAAGTTTATCATTACATAATCGCCAATACTTGATCCTTCTTAATTTATTCCTGTGATAATACTGTTTGAATAAACAAAATCTTGCTTTGAAGCAGTAGTAAGTCTAAAGACTCTTAACTACTCGTCTCTCTGTAACAAACCATACACGTTACATCTAAAACTTACTAAAATCACATCTCATTTATTTCCTGTGTCTTTTCACATACTACAAATTGTGTCTTTTGCTTACTCTTTGAGCTAAAAGCATACTACAACCTAGTAGATTTGATCAATTTGGCCTAAAGTCTACAACTTTGTTATTGATGTTGTCCAGTCATAATCATGTGTTGAAACAACAGCAGAAAACTTCTTAACAGATTAGTGTATAGATTGACTTCAACCCATGATTAAGAGCATTGGCAGTTTAACAAACAGAGAACACTAGTATTTAGCTAACAGAGAAATGCACAACAGCACAAGCAAGTGAGCAACTACTACATATTAACAGCAGTATGTAGCTAGTATCAGTGGAATTAGTCGAGGTGCGCGCAAGCGGCCCAGACACCACAGTTGTTAAAAAAACATATTAACAGCAGTAAATAAAAACTCAATATATAAACCAACCTTGATTTAAGAGTCTACTACATATTGGAAGAACTTGAGTAAAGGGTCCAAGCTTCTGCCTTTCTGCTAACAGCTCTGTCATGTACTGACTGCACAAAATTAAAAACACCCAAAAACAATATAATTTGCTAAAGAATCAATCTTGCATAAAGTTTTCAACTTAAAAAAGAAAAAACAAAGATTTGTCCTTTACCTATCAACATCTTGGTTGGTTCTAATATGAGGAGAAACAGCTCTAGCAGGTGAGAAATTCAAGTTATGATTATACAAATTAGACATGAACTTCAATTAAAGAAAAGGGTCTGCAATAAAAATTTGGACAGTTAAAGAAAAAGGGGAAGAATAACAAGGGGTCAAGAAACAGCCAACAAAGAAAAATGTTTTTTGGTTAATAAAAAGAAAACAAAAGCTTTGAATCAGTGAAACCCTGGAAAATAGGGAAGAAATAAATAGTGAACTGTTTTTTTCTGTGTTGGAGTTGGAGGCTTAAATATAGGTGTGGGTCATGTACTTGCCCCACGTTAGCAGCTAGCAATACATTTTGTTCTTGTTTTCACTACGTAGTGAACTAAACCATACCGATATAGTAAGCTCCCGTTATATATGTGGTACCATATATTTTTACAAAAACCTATTTTCACGATTCGAATCCGTGACCTTCTAATCATATGGCATCAACCTTATCAATTATGCCAATGCACTCTTTCTAGTAACTAAGCCATAATAAGTACAATAATCTGTAGATTATTAAATTATACTGATAATATAAGAACGATTTACATTGTATATAAGTTAAATTAGATAACCAAAATTTTTTAACTTGCTTATAAGTTCTTTTTTTATATAAATATATATAACCATAACCAGAAGGAGGAGTGAGGTGACCAGGTTAGTAACTTTATTTAATTTAAAGGGATTTATTCTTCAATTTCAATAATGATGTTGTTTCTATTAAATTAACTTTACATACATTAGTTTACGTAGTATTTACTTTAATATTTTATATTATAAATTTATAATTAGAAGGGGAGTCTTAGCGTAAGTGGTAAAGTTGTTACCATGTGATCACAATAGACCCTTTCCCGGAACCCGCTCATAGCAGGAGCTTAGTGCACGATGCTGTCCTTTATTCTAAAAATAAAATTAAATTAAAATATTAAATTCTATGTTTAATGAAATAGCATTAGATAAACTGAAACAGCACATCTAGGAATGCAATGTTAATAATTACTATAAGCACAAGTACTAGAGGCCAGAGCCGAGCAGAAAGCATCTGCCAAAAATTTTAGCAGTTCCATTACAAATGCAGAGCTAGTAAATTGAAAAATATTTACCAATCAATTGTCTTTTACAATAATTAAATTTTAATTACTGACAAAATTCTTGAGTCTCATGACTTCTCTTAATGGGCGCCAGTGTCTTTTTCTTGTAAATACACATAGCCAATGAATTTTACATTATTGTGAATGCTACTAATGCATTATTTATAATGACCATACTAAGGGGTGTACTAAGCTCTCGCTATATGTGGGGTTTAAGAAAGGGCCGGACCACAAGAGTCTATTGTACGCAACCTTATTCTGAATTTCTGCAAAATATTTTTTTCACGATTCGAACCCGTGACCTCCTGGTCACATGACGACAACTTCACCAGTTATATCAAGGCTCCCTCCTATAATGACCATTACTAGCTTTGCTTTTTAGAAAACCTTATTAAAAAAATTCTTCTATTGAAAACTTAGATACTAGTATAATTATATGTAAAGACAACTAGCATTTGTCGGATTCGATGTTTGTACGTATCAAATCAGTAAATATTGACATTACAAAGAAGAATAACTTACTTGCAAGCAATAAATATAATGTGTCTTGCATATAAATTTTTATTACTTAATAAGTATTGATTAAGGGCTATGTATTTTTACATTATTAAGTAACTATTTACGTTACTCGGTTGAATTTATCGTAAATACCGGGTGAAAAATAAAAAATAACCAAATTTATAACTGATAATTGAAATATAGCCATAATTTCAAAAGTAATCAAAATTTAGTCACTTTTTCATGTAAAGATAAAATCTGGAAAAAACACCCTTAAAAATCCGAAAATATTCTGGCACAATATGCTGGAGTTCGATTTTTTAAACATATGAGCTTCTAGCATAATGTGCTGGAGTTCCAACATAATATGCGAGAAGTTTATATGCAGGAGCTCCATAATCCAGCATATTTTGTGTGCTGAAGTTCCAACATAATATGCTAGAAGTTTATATGCAAGAGCTCCATAATCTCGCATATTATGCTGGAATATTCGTGTGTCAATAAAATAATGGCTAATTTTTAACGACTTTACAAATGCTGGCTATTTTTCAATTGTCAGTCCAAAAACTGGTTAGCCCGTGCTATTTTTACTAAATACCGTGTGTAAGTAAGTTTTTCCCCTATTACATTACAATAATATTATGGTAAATAAAGGTAAAAACAATGATAAGAATAGAGTGGGGGGAAAGATGGAATATTGTAATACTAGCATAGGATTCCAAAGAAGGAGAGAGCAGAGTACTTGAAAATTATATGACCATGCACGTTGTACAGAGACAACAATGTGTGGATCGCAATAAAGCTACCTCTTTCAGAGCCTCCCACCTTCTTAAATTATTGATTTCATGTATTTCTTGGACAACCCTAATCTTCCTATATATAATATATGTTCTTAATTTTAATAATACGTGGTATTTGAATTAGTTTGTATGCAGGAATTTTGTAACCGATGTTGAATTTTATACAAAAATATGAATAAATAATTTTAATTATCATATTTCTAGATAGTAATTAAATAGCTTTAGTCTATTAGTTTTATTGAGTCTTAAGTTAGAAAAGGTTCTGTTCAATTCTACTTAATCACAATTTTTAATCATAGAGACTCTCTCAAATATTTGCAAAAAAATATGCGTTAGTTGCAATTCAAACCTCTGACCTCTTAGAGCAAAATCGAGCATATAACCAACACGCAAATACAATTTGTGTCAAGTGGTGTCATTTCTTCTTATTTATCTGCATCTCACTGTATAGATACATATATTTAGTAAATATTTCTGACGAAGCGGTGTCGCGTGACACCGATTTGCTTAACGTGCATCCGCCCCCGTTTGTATGCATCGCCTATTTAATGAATACTTATTATCTCTCATGCTCACCAAAATTTAGATATAGGTCAAAAGATTATCTAACGTATTTTCTCTTGGTTGTATTTGAACTTATTAAGTTATATCTCACATGATTTCATCTTATGTTATAATATTCTCAGCTTACCTACCATCATTACTTCCTATAAGTCCTCCATATTCTTTTTGTATTAGTCTATATGTTTTATTTGTTTCGCAGATCACCTTGAGGTTTAATCATGTTATTTTCAGTTTATTTAAAATACTTAATCATAGACGGTATTGTATAAAAGCTTGTTAACACTAAGTGCACCTCAAGTATTAGAGCCGTTAAAATTGGCTTAGCCCGTGACGTCAGCCTAACCCAGTCCGCTACTAGGATAGGATTGGGCTAGAATTTTTTGAGCCCATTTAAAACTGAGGCTTATAAGCTCAGCCCAAGTCAGCCCGCTGGCCCTTGAGGCTTGACCGATGATGGGTGTGGGCCGGCCCGTGGGCTAAATATTAACAAATTAATTAACTATTAAATATTTAATATTTAAAAAAGTAAAAACTAAAAAAAACATTAACTATAATCCCCATTCCCCAACCCTACATTGTTCATTTACCCTTCCATATCAACTAGAATTTAGATTTTTGACATGCATGTAATATGAAAAAACTAGTTTTTCTTTTGCTTAATCAATAACGAACTCGAAAAGTTTTAGTTGGCCAATAATAATCATTTTTCAAAAGTGAATATTACTTTAATTAGCCAATGATCAGTTTGGATTACTTTAATATACTATTAATATTTAAACTGTTCTTCAGTATAGAAAAAAAATAATTTTAAATACACCAAAAAAAAATTGACCACTAGCAAATTTCAGGAATTTTAAAATTTTTGTGGACTATAATGATGAAATCAACAAATGATATCAATCCTAAATTAAAAAATCGCAGCATTTAAACTTATTGAAGCAATCTCTGAATCTGAGGAAAATGAAAGAAAAGCATTAAGAAAATATTCGTGTAACTTTAAAAAGAAGAGTTAGTGATATAGAGAATTTGCATTTCAATTACGAGATTCCTCGTCAAATATCAAGATTTTTTTACGCTCTAAGCAAACACAAGTTATTTACATGATTAATCGACTATGTCACGAAAAAATATTTAAGGATTTAAAGAAATTCTTTTTTCTTAAAAAACAATTGAAGGGCCAGCCCGACCTAGCCCGCAACCCTCTTAGGACTGGGTTGGGCTGACCATTTTAAGGCCCGTTCATGTGGCAGCCCGTCCCGTCCTAGCCCACCAAATTTAAAAGTCCGCGAGGCTTGGACTGGGCTGGACTGACCCATTTTGAGTAAAAATGGCGTGTAGTAGCCACTAATTAAGGGTGTCTTTAATTTTTATCCACTAATTATAATGCTCAGCAAAAATAGCCACTACTAATAGAAAAAAGACAATTTTACCCTTTCTTCCTATCTTTCGCGTTGCATTTTCATCTGGAATACCCAAGGCGATTTCACGGTCGGCCTCCTCCATGCTTGGTCAATAGCATCAGGTCTATTAGTGACCCAATTACTAGGACATAACCAGGTCCATCATGAGATCCTTCTGATTTTGCTTCACTATTCCTTTTACCAATACGTACCGTAGTTCCTTTTGCATCATCAAAATTTTCAAGTTCTGAATTTTTGAGCAGATGTCTCAATTACGTACAATAATTTCTTTCTTCTTACCTTGTTTTTGTTTCTTTTGAGTTCAAAGATTAAAAGTTAAGGACATGAGTCTTTAAGTTTGACATGCAGGTTTAAAAGTTAAGGACATGCATTCCTTAAATTTGACATGCAGGTTCAAAAGATAAGGACAAACAATACCTTAACTTAATGTTTACTAAGTTCAAAAACTTAACGGAATAGTCAGTATTTAAGTTATTGTTTCAAGTTCAAAACTTAAGGACTTTCTGTCCTTAACTTTGAGTTTCAGTTTCAAAAGTTAAGGACAGACAGTCCTTAACTTATAGTTTCAAGTTCAAAACTTAAGGACGTGCAGTCCTTAAGTTATTGTTTCAAGTTCAAAACTTAAGGACATGCAGTCCTTAACTTTGAGTTTAAAGTTTAAAAGTTAAGGACAGACAGTCCTTAACTTACAGTTACACGTTCAAAAGTTAAGGACAAGCAGTACTTAACTTACGGTTACAAGTTCAAAAGTTAAGGACAATAGGTCCTTAACTTTGACTTACAAGTTCAAAAGTTAAGGACGTTTGGTCTTGAAGTTTGAGTTCCAAGTTCAAAACTTAAGGACATGTAACCTTGAAGTCCTGAA